ACATACATACATACATACATACATACATACATACATACATACATACATACATAAACAAATGGTCTTTCAAGGGCAGAGAATGCCTACTCTAAAGTAACATTCAAATTTTGAAGTGATCTAACACAAAAGGCAGAAAAAAAAAAAAAAAGAATGAACAAAAGAATGAACATGCCAAAAGTTCTGGAGATTGGTTGTTCTATTTCTAGCTTGACATTTTTATTTGTTAAGGGAGGAAGGAAGTCCCATTTCATCTCGTTTTAAAGATAATTACATTCAAGTTTCTACCTGTTTGAAGCTAAAACAAATGGTTGGGGATGTGGCTCACTGCTTGCCTAGCATGTACAAAGTCCATCCCCAACAAAAATAAAACTTGGTATGGTGGTATAGGCCCATAATGCCAGCACTCCAGAAGTGGAAGTAAGGTCATCATAAGTTCAAAGCCATCCACCCTTGGCTACACAATAAGTTCAAGGCTACCTGACACCCTGGCTCCAAACAAATCCAGAAACAGAAAACTGATTCAGCCTCCCTTCCCACCAGATCACTCTTTGTCAAGCAAAAGCTTGATATTTTTCTTCTTTCTTCCAGCCAAACGGTTAAAGTAAAAGGAGACATATTTAGTGCTTGTGCATCTTCTATTCAGACACTATTAATCATTTCTTTTAAAATTAAGTTACCTACCTCACTGGGGTGTTGTGAGGATTAATTCATTAGTGTTTCTAAAGCACTTTGAGATCCTCAGGTCAAAGGCGCTATAGAAGTGCAAAGTAGTCGTATTATTACTAGATTCTTTGTTTATTTAAGGAATTTTACAATCCTTTAAAACCTTACCCTGTGTTTTGATTTAGACATTTGTAAAATCCTGCAGTTTATCAACATTAAATTCTTTGAGTCTGTTACAAACAGGGACAGATGTTTCAAAGCCAATTGTCTTAAAGATTACACCTTGATGTAAAATGACTGGACTAAGCTTGGAAATATCAAGTATGACAAACTGTCCATTCAAAATTCTTAAGAGAAACCCTGTCAATCTGACTTACAAGTGTGCATAAGTTGTAAAAGGGGAAAAAAAAATTGGAATGTACTTAACCATAGACTCTGGATTAAAACTTCATTTTTAAAAGAGGAAAGGGAACAGCATAAAAATTTCTGGATTAAAACTTCATTTTTAAAAGAGGAAAGGGAACAGCATAAAAATTTAAAAGCTAGTACTGTGTTGATGCATTAATTACATCCATTCAAATACGTGCAAGTGCAATGTAAACATTTAAGATCTAGTAAAAGTTTTTGTGCGTATGAACTGATCATAAAATAATTTGGTTGATTTTCTTCCAGTCAACCTCACCGTCAATTACAAAGAGCAGCTAAGCCTTCAGAGGAGGTCAACTTACCACTGAGGGTAAAGGCTTCAAATACAGTTAAATCTTGGATTAATCAACTACTTCCTACCCTCTTCTCTAACTGAAGGTTTTTACAATTAAAATGGGTTTGCTAATAAAAGCAACAAAGGCATACATACACACACACAAAGCTAAGAGAAGCCACGAGCTATCTGCAGACAGAATATTTACTCAGATTTTAGAGCTTCAGCTTTAAAACTGGATTTCTCCAGCACAAACTCCAGTCTCAAGATCAAACTGAAAAGGAGACACTGAACTTTCACTACTTACCTCCTGCTCTTGTTGAAAGATGACAACTCTCCCACCTTTATCTCCTGTTGCTAGTAATTCTCCAGAATGATTAAACTCTACTGTAGAAATTATATCTGCTGTATAATTGAAACAAAAACAAAAAGACATCAGTTTTTGTCCCCCAACTCACTTAGGATGTTCCTAACAACATTCTAGATCTATGCATCAAAAACAAAGAGACCTAAAGCCCCCCCCCCCTTAATACCTTAATTTTGGAGGGGAAAATGCCCCAAATAAACCAACACGAAACTATCCTACCAATGAGGAGTATAATAATAAATGTCAGAGGTTTGTAAATATTTCACTTTATTTGTGAATGCAAAAGTCAACCACTTATTTGTGAGATTTATTTTTTTTTTTTTTTTTTTTTTTTTGCTGGTGTTGTTTGGGTACTTTTTTTTAAAAAAAGATTTATTTATTATGTTTACAGTGTTCTGCCTGCATATACGCCTGCACCCCAGAAGAGGGCAGGAGATGTCATTACAAATGGTTGTGAGTCACCATGTGGTGCTGGGAATTGAACTCAGGACCTCTGGAAGAACAGCCTGTGCTCTTATTCTCTAAGCCATCTCTCTAGCCCATTGTTTGGTTTATTATCACCATATGTATATGTGACTTATAGAGGGGTGAATATGCCAAAGTGTGCATGTAAAGGTCAGAGGGCAAGTAGGTAGAATGGGTTCTCCCCTTCCATCTTGACATAGTTTCCAGGGGCTGAATTAAGGACTCCAGGCTTGTACTACAAGCATTTCACCCACTGAACCATCTTGAAGGGCCAGTTGGTGGGACTGGTCTTGAATTCCTGAAAACCTACTTTCTTTCCTGCACTTCCTGAAGTATTCTATGATAACATCATTGAACATGATTTTCTAATTTAAATACTATTTGTTGGTTTGGTTTTCTAAGACAAGGACTAGCTGAGTAGCTCGAGGTGACCTCAAACTTGCCATCTTATCCCCTCAGCCTCTTAACTGCTGGAGTTAGATATATGCCACCACACACCTGGCTTTATTTATGTACTTTCAATGAACATGACATTTTTGGTTTTGTTATGTTGAAGGGTTATTATGAGTCAAACTCTGAAAAAAGACTCAAGTATGTTAAGCAAGTAAGTGTCTCTGCTGCTAGGCTTGTTTATACAAACTCAAAAGCCTTCAAAACTAGGGTAGAAAGAAGCCACAAACAAGATCTGGACTTCAAGACCAGCCTTGGCTACACAAGACCCTGCCTCAAAAACAAACAAAAACCAGTAATAAGCATCTAACACAGGTATTAGAGAAGAGGAAGCAATTTTAATGTAAAAATAATTTCAGATAGCATTCTATAGTCGTAAATCCAAATCGTACTCTCCTAAGTCATTAATACACTCTTTGGTGCAAAAAGAATTACGTTAATTAGAATACACACCATTATGACAAACAGATTGAAAACATAATTGTGTCATGAAAGCTACCAACCTTGGGAACTATTTTTAAGTAATTATTCCATGTTTTATAAAAGTAAAAACAATGACAACCACTGTCAGAATCATTACAATAAATCCGATATATGGCCCAGTACAGAACATTGAGTTATGTTCTCATAAGAAATGGCAAAGACCAAAACACTCTTTTAAAAGAAATCTTCCTGAAAACAAAAATGTTACTTTACAGTCAAGACTCTTACTTAGTCTAATCTTAGAACATTCTAACCTGATTAGTGGAAAGAGTGGCCCCCTAACACTCACCAGCTTTACACAGCAAATTTTAGACACACAGATTTATAAATTATGCAACAAAAGGAAGTCTTTAAAAGGCATCATCAGTTTGTACATCAATTCATCTCCTTTTTAAACTCTTATCATTCAGGTTTGCCCTTTGCAGATAAAATAATCACTTCTTTTGGGGGTGGAATGAAGTTGGTGGGACTGACAGCAGCAGCATTAGCAGTCTATTTTTACTACCTCGCCTCTTCTTGTCTACTCTGAAGGGCCTTTGTATGGCATAATAAATAGATAAGATGATCAGACACCAAAGAATTCCAAATTCTAACACTTGCTTAAAGCTCGAAGGAAAAACATATCTACTTGTAGCATGCAGAAACTGTAATAATTAACAAATGCTGTACATTGATGGACCAAATTCTCAGCCTTATAATTTTCTAACTTCAGCTCTGAGCTGAGGCCACACAGTTACTGGCTGGTTTTGTAACTGTATATAAGGATGACTTTCCAAAGAAACAATTTGAAAGAAACCAACCAGTACAGATATAAGATTTCTGAAACAGAAGAAAGCTGAACATATTTTAAATACCAGATAAATAAGAGATATGAAAGGTACTTGTAGTCACAGGTTGAACTCTCTTCATAAGAATATTCCTGGAGCCCAATAGTAAACACTGAAACTAAAGGTATTTACTATCTAGCCATCTTCAGAGAATGCCTAACAACTCTAGTTCTCCTATGTAAAGAATTGGATACTTACATTAATAAACAGCTTTTGTATCTACAATTACACCAAACATGTTAACAGACAAAGATATTTGGAAACAATGTATCATGTAAGCACTTAATAAATAAATTAATTTCCTATTCATAGCACTACTGTATTGTTTTTCATTTTCCATGTACAAAAGAACAAAGAAAAGCTCTAGAGATCACGTATGTTAGAGCTAAAGCTACATACAAGTGTCAAGAGTCAAGGCCAGGATTCAAATTTAGCAGCCATATGGTTACAGGAGCAGCACAGGATTCTGTAAATCATGAATGAAAGCAAAGGCATACTGTCTAATGTCATTCATCCAGAGGGGGCCTGGATTCCGGCTAGGGTCCTGGAACTCAGCTTCAGGACAGAGAACGAGGTTTCCCTGCTAGAGCACTTTTGGGTGAGGCCCAAGCGTGTTAAGTGGGTGTGTTTGTGGGGGGGGGGGGGTTCCAGAGTGTTACAGTTTAGCTCTTTTAGCAGAAGATCCTCTGTGACAGTGGAAGAAGCTAGGTGTTCCAAAGCCTACAGCAGATACCAAAGCGTATAGCTATAGTAGCTTTAGTCAAGCTGCTATACTGAGCACAGGTGTGCGGGCTAAGGCCCAGGGGTCCAGAGGGCAGGATAAATGACTAATTTCAGATGGTCTTGAATTAAGAAGATGCAAACCTGTATACCTTTATCCATGTGAAACCAAGGGCAATATAAGCCCTTAGCAGAGGGAGGGATTCTGAAGTTGAATGTGTTTGATTCACTGGGGTCAGGGAGTCGGGGATATTTAAATGGTCCTATCACAAAAAGAAAAATATAGCACTTAATTATCCTATAGGGGAGGGAGGCAGGATCTCCAAATACAAATGAAGGTCACCACTGGACTAAGATCCTTAGTAGGTGGGGCCTTTCAAAGAACTCCTAGATGCTTGCATGAACAGTTTCCTTATCAGGGGAAGGGTCTGGCCTGTAATCTGCCCTATGTGAGCTCCTTATAAGACCTGGAATTATCCAGGTCAGGGGAGTTCAGAACCCCACAAATAAATGGCTACCCAGAAACAATTGACTTCAACCTTATCCAGCAGAGCCCCATAGTCTAAGTGCTCAGTTTGTCACTCCTCCCGACCCCCACACGCAAAGTATCTGTACTCAGCAAAGCACCTAGCGCCAAACAGATCAACTTTAAAGCTTAGTAGTGACTAAGCACTTAATGCACAGCAGCTGCATAAAAGGTACCAAGAATACTGAGTAGTTACAGTCTAAATGCCACCTCTAATTTCCGCCCGAGAAAGCTGGACACAAATAATGTATTCATAAAGATTTAATAACTGCTTTTAAAAAGAAAACACAAACACACACAAAAACCAAGGACTTAGCTCAGTCGGTCAAGTGGCTGTCTAGGTAAACTCTAGGTTCAGCAAAAAAAATCCCATCATTCGTAGAGTGACAAGACTACCAACAATGACCTCTGGCTAACCCCTGCACAAACCACATACAAGCACACACCACATGCATGCGTACACAGACAGGAATATACTGTACACACAAATATACCACACACACAAATATGAAAGCTATACAGGGTAGAACAAGTTTATAATCCTAGCCCGCAGAAGATAAAGGCAGGACTGTTTGAGGTCAGCTTGGTCTACAAAGAGAACTCTAGGCTAGAGAGTTATACAATCACCCTGTTAAAAATAATAAATAATGTTGGACAGTAGTGCCACACACCTTTAATCCCAGCACTCAAGACATAGAGGCAAGTGGATCTCTGTGAGTTCGAGTCCAGCCTGGTCTACAGTGCGAGTTCCAAGACATCCAGGGCTACACAGAGACACCCTGTCTTGAAAAACATAGTGGCAATAACAATAACAATAATGATGCCAAATAAGAGATATAAAAGACAAAAATTAATCCTAGCATATAAACCAAATAAATATGCAGAAATGCCTCCTCATTTTAAACTTAGACAGAAATGAACATAGCTCAGAGGTAGAGCATATTCTTAAGAGCACACAGGAGCCTGTTTTGCCCCAAGAACCAACAGGTAAGTAAATACAAATAAGGGGAAGAAGTCTCAAACTTGGATAAATTGCTGAACTATGTCTAACCATCTGGGTTGTAGGGTCCTGCAAACTGCACCTCAAAAAACAAACAAACAAACAAACAAACAAATAAAATAAAGGCCAAACTCATGTTGAGCCATGTTCCCAGCTGCTATGGGTCTATAATTGTACTTTTAACTATCATAAACTTCAAAGGAAAATAATCTATAATCCTACTTCTGAAAACTGTTATTCTAGTATCTCAGCAAAGGGTATTACATGATTGTACAGGCTCTGTGCCAAAAAGGCAAGTCTGTATGAGAAAACTGCATGTAATACCAGTTTTCTAAAAAGTCACAAAGCAGGTTTGATACTGTCTGGACAAAAATAAAGACAATCAGGAAAATGGAAACAAATTACCAGAGCTTAGACAGGAAAACAGGTAAGATATGAAAGCTATCAGCATATCCCTTCCATGGAAACACCAGAATCCCCTATATACTACTCAAATGACTGAGAAAGCAATCAAAAGGCAATAATCTGCTGACAGAGCAACCAGCACGTATGTAACTGCACAGACAC